GTTGTGAGGTCTATTGGCAATGTCACAGACCTCACAACCTCTGAGGATGCCTGCCATAGATGTAGGCAAAATCAGGAGAAAATGCTTCTAGAACATGGCCATACAGCCTGGAAAACTCAAAGAAACCCAGTGATTCTGGCCACACATTTTTTGAATGTTTTGGTGGAAGCTCAGCCTCTTATTTAACATCAAGAACCCAGGTGCTCTTCTAGCAGTCACCACAACCCATCTCCAATGCCAGAAATACAGCTTAATGGTGTGACATTAGAAAATGTTGACCATTTCCGCTACCTTGGCAGCCACCTCTCCACAAAAGTCAACATTGACACTGAAATACAACACCGCCTGAGCTCTGCGAGTGCAGCATTTTTCCAAATGAAGCAGAGAGTGTTTGAGGACCGGGACATCCGTAGGGATACCAAGGTGCTTGTTTATAAAGCTATTGTCCTCCCAACCCTGCTCTATGCCTGTGAACTTGGACTGTCTACAGAGTCACATGCAACTCCTGGAATGATTCCATCAGCGCTTGCCTCCGGAAAATCCTGCAAATCTCTTGGGAAGACACGACAAATGTCAGCATGCTGGAAGAAGCAAAGACCATCAGCATAGAAGCCATGGTCCTCCGCCATCAACTCCGCTGGACTGGCCATGTTGTCCAGATGACCGACCACTGTCTCCCAAAGCAGTTGCTCTATTCTGAACTCAAGAACAGAAAACAGAATGTTGGAGTACAGGAAAAGAGATTTAAAGATGGGCTCAAAGCCAACCTTAAAAACTCTGGCATAAAAACAGAGAATTGGGAAGCCCTGGCCCTTGAGTGTTCTAGCTAGAGGTCAGCTGTGACCAGCAGTGCTGTATTATTATTATTATTATTATTATTATTATTATTAACTTTATTTATACCCCACTAACATCTCCTGAAGGACTCGATGCGGCTTAAAAGGCCAAGGCCACCAACAAAAAAAAACATACAAATACAACAGTAAAACTCATAAAGCAAATAATAAAACATCAAGCAAAACAATAAAACACTAAAAACAATGACACCATGACGCATTTAAAACCTAAGGCCGGGCCAAATAAATGGACAAATTTAAAAGTGCTGGACATGACAGGTGAAATGTAGAGGTTTTTGGAGGTAGGTGCAATGTGCAGACAATCCTAAATCTCTAACAAAGTGCATTTGGGACATGATGCTAGGGTTTCCTATTCTGGAAAGGCACACTGGAACAGCCAGGTCTTCAGGCTCTTCCTAAAGACTGCCAACGTTGGGGCTTGTCTGATGTCCTTGGGGAGAGAGTTCCAGAGTCGGGGGGCCACCACAGAGAAGGCCCTGTCCCTCGTCCCCACCAAACGTGCTTGCGACGCAGGTGGGATCGTGAGCAGGGTCTCTCCAGATGATCGAAGGGATCGTGTGGTTCATATATGGAGATGCAGTCACGCAGGTAGGCGGGTCCCAAACCGTTTAGGGCTTTGTAGGTGAGCACCTGCACCTTGAAGAATTTGTAGGTGAGCACCTGCACCTGTAGAATTTGAAGAGGCATGAATGGAGGGCAAAAGAGAGAAACGAGCCAAGCGGAAGGCACGTCAAGCCAACCCTGACTGTGACCTCCTTCCACCTGGAAACCGATGCCCTCACTGCAGGAGAACATGCAGGTCAAGAATAGGGCTCCACAGTCAGCTACGGACCCACCCCACCATCAGTACACCGAACTTGGAAAACAATCTTACTCGGTCGGTCAACGAGGGATCACTTAAGTAAGTAATGTGACAACCATGCAAACATCTAAACATGGCCATCATGTTCCCTCTCAACCTTCTCTTTTCCAAACTAAAGATACCCAGCTCCCTTAGCCATTCCTCATAGGGTTTAGTTTCCAATCCTTTGAACATTGTGGTCACCCTTCTCTGGACACATTCCAGCTTGTCAATACCCTTCTTGAATGGTGATGTCCAGAAGTGGGCAGTCTTCTTCCAGGTGAGGTCTGACCAAAGCAGAATAGAGTGGGACTATGATTTCCCTTGATCTAGGCACTTTGCTTCTACGGATGCTGCTACTTGTGTATGTTGAGTATCTGGAGAGCAAGATAAACCAAGATGGCTGCCTCCTCCTAAGAACTTCTGTTGGGTGTGCTTTGCTCTTTCTCTGGCAGGCAGCCGCCCCCTCCCCACCTCCTGCCTCTCCTCTCAGGCTCTCCTGAGAAGGAAGGGCCTGAGTCGGGATCCCCCGCAATAAGGCTCTCCACAAAGGAGAAAGCCTTCCTTCGACTGAAGAGGCGTAAGCAGGCCCTGTCTCCCTATTAGCATTCCGAGCAGGTGCCGGAGCTGGGACAAACCGGCTCTCCCCTCCCGCCACTTGCCGGTGACGTCACCGCCCGGGAGCGTGAGAGGAAGCCCCGCCCCTTTCTCACTGCAGGGGCGTGGCTTGGGCCGGAGAGCGGCAGGCCCCGGACGCCCCCGCATCTGCTGCGGCGAGGCGGGGGAGGGGGATCCTGCCGTGCTTTCCCCGCTTCTGCGAGGGAGGAGGAGGAGGAGGCATCGCTCACGCATGGGTCCCCCTCCCCTCTCGGGTGGCTTCTCTCTCTCTCTTTCTGCAAAGCGGGCTCTCCCCTCCCCACCCGAGGCCCCTCCCTCACCTGGTTATAAAACCCGGGCTCCCTCCGCCACCCTCTGCAGTGGCCCCGCGGCGAGGCGTCTCAATCAGGGCCGCCACCGATGAGTTTTTCGCAACCTGATGGGTTCCACAAAAGGGACAGGAGGGAGAGAGGAAGGAAGGAAGGGCAAGGGGAAGGGAAACTTCCTTTGATTTCTGCACATTTTCGTGGGGTGTATACCTGTATATATGAAAGGGCATATATATATATATTCCGTGTGCGTGTGTGTATGAAAAAAACACATATTTTACTGCCATATCTAGCTATCCTTTATCTATCTATATGCCATATCTATCCCTTCTATATCTATCAATCTATATGACATATCTATCTATATGCCATATCTATCCTATATCTAGCTAGCTAGCTATATGCCATATCTATCTATCCCTTCTCTACCTATCTATCTATATGACATATCTATCTATATGCCATATCTGTCTCTATCTAGGTGCCATCCCATACCTATTTATATGCCATATCTCTCTATCTGTCTATCCCATACCTATCTATATGCCATATCTCTCTATCTATCCCATATCTATCTATCTATCCCATATCTATCTAGGTGCCACCCCATACCCATCTCTCTATATGCCATATCTATCTATCTATCCCATATCTATCTATCTGCCATATCTCTCTACCTGTCTATCCCATACCTATCTATATGCCTATATTCCATCTATCCCATATCTATCTAGGTGCCATCCCATACCTATTTATATGCCATATCCCTCTGTCTATCCCATACCTATCTATCTATATGCCATATCTCTCTCCATCCCATATCTATCTATCTATSTATCGCATATCTATCTAGGTGCCATCCCATATCTATCTATATYCCATATCTATGTAACCCATATCTATCTATCTGTCTGTCATYTCATKTCTKTCTGTCTATCCCATACCTATCTATATGCCATATCTGTCTATCTATCCCCTATCTATCTATCCATCCATCCATCCCATATCTATCTAGGTGCCATATTTATTTATTTATTTATTTATTTATTTATTTATTTATTTATTTATTTAGCAATTTTGTATACCGGTCTTCTCCCCTCTATCGGGGGACTCGGGCCGGTTTCCAACTATCTATCTATCTAGGTGCCATATCTATCTYTCTYTCTYTCCATSCATCRATCRYTCRYTCRATCRATCCARCCCATATCTATCTAGGTGCCATATCTATCTATCRATCRATCTATCTATCTACKTATCTATCTAMSTYRCATATCTATCTARCTATCTARCTATCTARCTATCTACCTATCTACCTATCTACCTATCTARCRATCCATCCATCCATCCATCCCATATCTATCTAGGTGCCATATCTATCTATCTATCTATCTATCTATCTATCTATCTATCTATCTATCTATCTATCTATCTATATGCCATATCTCTCTCTATCCCATATCTATCGATCTATATGCCATATCTATTTGTTTGTCCCATATCTATCCATACATCCATATGCCATATCTATCTGTCGATCTATGCCATATCTATGTGTGCCATATCTATCTATCTATGCCATATCTACCTCTTGATCCAGTACTCTCCCCCCTCCACTTAGCCCTATTTCCAAATGGCTCTGCTTCGGCTGGTAGTCACTCTCTGGGGAGCTCAGGGGCTTACCTTTGAGGAACTTGATTAGGATTGCTGCCTTGTTTCCTCCCGAGGAATACTATTACTGTTATTAGTATGATGATGATTTATACCCCGCTTTCCTCTCTTAAAGGGGACTCAAAGCAGCTAAGGAGATTCAGGAGGGGACGGTTCTCTAAAGCCTTTGAAGTATTACATAACGGGGCGGCGGCGGGAAGCAATGGCAGCAAGGTCACGGCGGGGGAGAACAAACAGTATAGTACACCGAAATCGAGGCGAGGAGAGACCTTTTTTCTGGGTGTTTCCAAGGGCGCCCCGCCAGTGTGGCTTCTTTGGGGTCTCCGAAAGATCCGAGAGTGGGGGGCTGAATAGGGAGGGGGGCAGAAAACGTGCCCCCTACAGGCCTGGCTGGGTTTTGTAGGTTTTGACGGGGAAGGGGCGGGGCTACACTGGCTAACTCGGAGAGGGACGAAGGCAAAGCCAGGTGCGCCCAGAGGCCAGCGCGCCCCCGAGAGGTCCCTCGGGGTCAGTCGGAAAGCGGGAGCGCGCCTGAGCCTTTCTATCTATGTCTCTAAGTACCATTTCGCAGTGCCTCCCCTTTCTTCTTCTCCTTCTTATTCTTCCTCCTAAGAAGCCCATGCTTCCCAATCAAGAAAGAAAAGGCCCTAAAAACCCCAAATCCCTGCGTGTCATCCCCCACGTCAGGGCTGGCAAGTGGGCGTGAGGCTTGTGCTTCCTCCGCCCCCTCTTCCTGGAGTGAGCCATTCCCTGCTCTTCCTGCCTTCCCTCTCTCTCTCTCTCTCACTCACTCTCACTCTCCCTTTTGGTCTCTCCGTCTTCTCCAGCTTGGGTTGAGTGTGTGTGGAACTGTGTCTATGAGAAAGAGAGAGAGAGTACGCTTCTCCTCCTTTGAAAGAAACCCAAAACAGAGAGAAAGAGAGAGCAAAGAAAGAAAGAGCAAGTGTCTCTCTCTCTCTCTCTCTCTCGCCTGCTGGGAACTTGTTGTTGGCAATGCCTGGCGCGGAGCAGTTCCCTCCGGCCCCTCTTTCAGAATAAAGGACGAGGAGAAGCCCGTTAGGAAGATCTGCAGTCGCAAATGGTTGTACTCAGGATAGGATGGGACTTAAGTTGAACGGCAGATACATTTCTCTGGTCCTTGCGGTGCAACTAGGTAAGTAGACTCTCTCCCTACCATTGCCTGCATGCCAAAGAGTCTCTCCGAGTTCAGACATCCTTTGCTACAGTGATAGGAAATCCTTGGCATTCGTTTGCACCTCTTTAAAAAGAAATAGAAAATCCGGCCTCTTTAATCTTTTCGCTGATTTACTCCAGAGACCAAAACCTGCGGGTTTCTGTGAGTTTTCCGGGCTGTGTGGCTATGTTCCAGAAGCATTCTCTCCTGACGTTTCGCCTGCATCTATGGCAGAGGTTGTGAGGTCTGTTGGAAACTAAGCAAGTGGGGTTTCCTTCCCTTCTTACTATAGTCCTTCTCCAATAATTCCAGTAGCATTTTCTCCTGACGTTTCGCCTGCATCTATGGGCGATATTGTAAGGTCTGTTAGAAACTAGGCAAGTGGGGTTTCCTCTCCTTCTTGCTATATTCCTTCTCCTTCACCAATAATTCCAGAAGCATTCTCTCCTGATGTTTCGCCTGCATCTAGGGCAGAGGTTGTGAGGAATGTTGGAAACTAGGCAAGTGGGGTTTTCCTCCCCTTTTTGCTAATTTCCTTCTCTTTCCCCAATAATTCCAGAAGCATTCTCTCCTGACGTTTCGCCTGCATCTATGGCAGAGGTTGTGAGGTCTGTTAGAAATTAGACAGGTGGAGTTTTCCTCCCCTTTTTGCTAAATTCCTTCTATTTCCCCAATAATTCCAGAAGCATTTTCTTCTGATATTTCGTCTGCATCTAGGGCAGAGGTTGTGAGGACTGTTGGAAACTAGGCAAGTGAGCTTTTCCTTCCCTTCTTGCTATATTCCTTCTCTTTCCCCAATAATTCCAGTAGTATTCTCTCCTGGCGTTTCGCCTGCATATATGGCAGAGGTTGTGAGATCTAGGCAGGTGGAGTTTCGTCCCCTTTTTTGCTATATTCCTTCTCTTTCCCCAGTAACTCCAGTAGCATCCTCTCCTGACGTTTCGCCTACGTCTATTGGCAGAGGTTGTGAGGTCTGTTGGAAACTAGGCAGGTGGGATTTTCCTCCCCTTCTTGCTAAATTCTTTCCCTTTCCCCAATAATTACATGCACAGAGAGAGAGAAAGGGAAATATAAATTCACTATAGCATCCTATTTCTCCTCTAAAGAGGGGAGGGGAAGAAGAAAGGAAATGTGCGAGGAAAGAAAGACTCCAAATAACCTCAAGGTTTGTGTTTTCTTTCCCTCCAAAATGGAAGGGAAGCAACCATCCCAGGCAGTGGGAAGTTTCCATCCCATCTGCAGCCCTTTCTACTAAAAGTAGCATAAAAGATCTTGGAGAAGAAGGAAGGATAGAAACCGAGACCAATTTAGGGCTTGAAGGTCGTTTGGATCCAGGACTTGGATTCCTAACGTTTTGCTTTGGTTTCCGCCCGAGATGGTAGAATATAGCTGTTTTTGGAGCCAATAAAATACAAGGTGGAGGCGCCTTTGAAGTTAGCGCTTAGCAGCACTTTGCCTGCTGCATTGAGCCCTCCTTTGAAGGAGGGAGTGTGAAACCGGTTTCCCCGAAAGTACACCCCCATTTCCTTCCAAGCTCGCATTTCCCCCTCCCAAAACACCCCCTTTGATTCCCCCCAATCATTCTCAAGGTCTTGGCGTAATGCTCTCCCTTGATTTTGTGTTTCACATGGATTTGGGGGGCTTTTCCTGATGCTCTGCAGTCCGAATTAGGACGAGGCATGTGTCATGTGTGCGGTGTGGTTTGCTGCGAGTTTTCCGGGGACTGTGTATGCAGCGTGGCTCCGAATCAAGATGGGTCTTCCGTGCAGAAGCAGGTGACCTTTGGACGCGGGTGGGCAAATCCCTTGTCCCCCCAAGCGCCCCAAATCTTTCCCATTTCTGCATCGTTTTGGAAGCAAATGAGGTTAGGATGCAGGGAAAGGAAAGTAACAACGTGATGCGGGATTATAACGCAGGAAGGGAAATAGTACAAACACTGCGGTGGGAATTAAACCGGGACGAATCCCAAGGACTTTTTCAAAACAGCTCCCCTCCTGTTTTCCCCCTTATTTGTGTTTTGATTGCGTCGGGATTTAATTTCCGTGGCATAAATACGTCCTGGGAGATAGAACCCGTGTTTGTGTGTGTGTGTGTGTATGCGCGCGCACGCATTGGGCGCGCGCGTTCCCGTTGATTTCCGCGGGGTTGTGTTTGTCCTCGAAATGAAGGAGCCCATTGCCTCCTTCGCCTGCAATCATGGAGGAATCAGGAAGGGTAGAAGCAGGTATACACAAACCCAGTAAAGGCGTGACAGAGCAAATCTAGCTAAAATCCCATTTCCCCCCTTCTGTTTGGATCCCAAACCTTTCTTAGGGTCAGAATATGCGAAGTTGCTCTTTCTTTAATCGGTCCTTCTGCATCTTCATCCTATTCTTCGACATCTTGATATTGTCGGCTCTCCTCAAGAGAGATTTGATTGGTTTGATTGGGAAGGATGTCCAATTTCAAAGTGTGTGAAGGGCATTTCCCTCCCAGCAATATGGATAGACTGTATGCCCAATGGGTGACCTTCCAGGCTGAACAAGGTTGTGAGGAGGGAAGATGGAGAAACTGGAGCCCCATCTATACTTTGCTATAAAATCCACATTTTCTGATTTGAATTGGATTATATTGCTGTGTAGACTAATATAATCCGGTTCAAAGTAGATAATCTGGATTTTATATGGCAGTGTAGGTGGGGACAGGGACTGCAGGAGTGAGAGAGAAGCTAATAATAATGATGATGATGATAATGATAATAATAATGATGATAATGACGATGATAATAATAATAATAATAATAATAATAATACATCACACAGTTCTAGACGCTTGGGAAGTGTTCGACTTGTGATTTTGTGATACGAAATCCAGCATATAGATCTCATTTGCTGTGCTTTTGTGTCAGTAATATAATAATAATAATAATAATAATAATAATAATAATAATAATAATAATAATGGGGGTTCCTGTGAGTTTTCCGGGCTGTAGGGCCATGTTCCAGAAGCATTCTCTCCTGATGTTTTGCCCACATCTATGGCAGGCAACCTCAGAGGTTGTGAGGTTTGTTGGGAACTAGGCAAGTGAAGTTTATAATAATAATAATAATAATAATAATAATAATAATAATAATAATAATAATAATAATGGGGGTTCCTGTGAGTTTTCCGGGCTGTAGGGCCATGTTCCAGAAGCATTCTCTCCTGATGTTTTGCCCACATCTCTGGCAGGCATCCTCAGAGGTTGTGAGGTCTGTTGGAAACTAGGCGAGTGAGGTTTAATAATAATAATAATAATAATAATAATAATAATAATAATAGGTTGTTGTGAGTTTTCCGGGCTGTATGGCCATGTTTCAGAAGCATTCTCTCCTTATGTTTTGCCCACATCAATGGCAGGCATCCTCAGAGGTTGTGAGGTTTGTTGGAAACTAGGCAAGTGAGGTTAATAATAATAATAATAATAATAACACCCTACTCCGATCTGCTCGCGTTATTCGCTGATACATCGCACTTGAGAAATGTCCGAAGTCTGGTCCAATACAACAGCCAGCATAGTGATCTTGTTTGCTGTGTATCAAATAATAATAATAATAATAATAATAATAATAATAATAATAATAATATCAGGCTTAGTTTGAAGACCACAATTCTTTAACTTCCTTTAAAATGTGTGTGTGTCTTTCTGTGAATGAGTTTTTGCCTGCCCCATAGCATCCCAAAGGGGCTCGTGGGTAAGAGGCAGATAGGCAAGGGGAGCTGTTCTAGTCGTTAATGGGAGGCTGTCACCAGCCAGTTTCAGGCGCGACTCCATGGACTCCAATCCATGGCTTCCCCCTCCTTTCTCTTCCTCAGACCAATATAGCCAGGTCAACTGAAGAAGGCGTGGGAGGGGAGCCTATTCTTAACCCTCCTCCGATCACTATTGCCACCATTATCCCCACAATCATCATCACTACTAAACAGTACAGTTTGAACTGCATGATATGAGTGTACAGCACTGTCCATAGAATGTAATTCAAGAGAGTGTTGATCCAGCCTTTCAATCCCGAATATGTTTCGCCCCTGTCTATCTATTACACAACCCAACCAAATAAAAATATATGTGTATGTATATGTTATGTGTGTGTATATATATCGATACACACACACATACATATACACACATATTTTATTTGGAATTAAATATATATATTACATATTATATATGTGTGTGTATGTGTGTGTATATATTGCATATATATATATATATATATATATATATATATATATATATAACACATAACTTACATATATATATTGCATATTATGTGTGTGTGTGTGTGTGTAAGTTATGTGTTATGTATATATATATACATACAATATATACACACACATACACACACACATATATAATATGTAATATATATATTTAATTCCAAATAAAATATGTGTGTATGTATATGTTATATGTGTGTGCGCATTTATATGTGTGTGTATATATGTGTGTGTGTGTGTGTGCATATATATAGATATACACACACATATACATACACATATATATTTATTTGGAATTTTATATATATATTATATGTGTGTGTATATATGTGTGTGTGTGTATATATGTGTGTATATATATATACAAAGAGACACACATAACTTATACACACACGCATATATATATATATATATACATACATGATTCCAAATAAATATGTGTGTGTATGTTTGCATGTGTGTGTATATACGCACACATACATATATACATACACATATTTATTTGGAATTAAATATATATATTACATAATATATATTTATATTGCATGCATTTATATATTTAATATATAAATACACATATATGTATTTATTTGGTTCGGCTGTGTAATAGACATGGGAGAAATATATTCGGGATTGAAAGGCTTGATCTACACTGGTTGTGTGTGTGTATATATTAGAGAGAGAGAGAGAGTATATATGTACACGCATACCTTGGCTTTACAGCCTGTACCTGGGGTTCTTTA